TTTTTTCTTGGTTTTTCCAGCACCTAAAGAGGTCAGTGTAACAATATTTAGCTCAAAAATACTAAGCCCCAAATTCATCCATTTCTGAAAATTACTGGAAAAACAAATGTTGCATAATACCTTTAAGGATCGTTCTTTGTTTGCTACGTGTACAAACTTGGTTAATATTTTATGAATGGTTCTGACAGATCCATTATACCTGTAATCTTTCCTCAAACTATCATAAGATACCAATCTTCTTTGGGTGTAAGGTTTATTTGTATTAAATTGCGTTATTTGTGAGGAGACTGTTGCAACACGTGTTGCTCGCTGATAAAGCCACGTGTTACTAACTCTGTGTAAAGTTGCCGGTATGCTACCATTAATTAAACATAAGGCCTGCTAGTTACAACTGTAGCAATAGTGCTGGAGCTTTACTGCAGTTTTACTGTTTTGTATACATGCTGGTACCCTGTAATTTTAATCGGGCCATGCAAAGAAAATATACATGAAGGTGTTTCCGGTTACCACAAACGACCTACAAAATTATGCAGAACCTACATCTTTGTATTGGAAACAAAATTTAAAGAAAAGTAAATGAAAACTTACAATGCTGCTCCCACCCTACAGGTACCTTGTGCAGCCATCCTCCTGCATTTTAAACCTAACGTACCTAAATCCATCAAAATCCACACCCCTGTTTTGGATGATTTCGGCGGATTCAGGATACCTCCATATTAAAAAGTTGGGGGATTTTGATGGATTCAGGACAGTTTAATAGCCTAGGGGTACTGCAGGATTTTGATGGATTCAGGATACCTCTATGTTGAGCAGTTGGGGGCCTTTGATATATTCAGGATCTCAACAGTAGGCCTACTTAAACTCTTTGGCTATTTGTTTGGTGTTTATGAGGTATGTACTGGCACTACAATACACCGGTGGATTCTGATGGACTCACTGATGGACTCAGGACACCAACATTTTGTTGGCATGACAAAATTGGTAGATTTCTAGTAAAAGTGTTCAAGGGGTTAGGGTTAAAAACTGTTTATTTCTTTTTTGTGTAAGTTGGTCGGCAGTGTGGTCTTGCCATGCTGTGGAATGAAGGCTACAAACAGCGAAACAATGAACAAACGCTGAAAGAATTCAGCATGTTAACATGTTGGCTGATTTGAGTGCATGCAAAACTTAAAACTAAATTTAATTTAATTAGTCAAATTCAGTTTTCAGTTTACGTTCGAAGGTAGTATAGGCTTTCCTGGCTATTTTAAAACGTTTGTCATTCAAATTCACCGTTTCTGATATCAAAGTCGTCCAGCAACATCCAGTTAGTGCACTTCCAGTATAATTTTGTATTTTGCCAGACAATTTGAAATTCATGTTAAGCAAATGTAAACAATGTGCACACTTTGTCGTCCCAGAGTATTGAATTTCGTCTCTTCTATGCCAAACCTTGTTATTCAGAAATCAAATTCGTCTCATTGATTTGTATAAGATGAATTTGATCTCTGAATGCTGCCATTCGGCGACAGCTTAGACGGATTTGATCTGCAGTGACGAATATTCTCGACCGATGACTAAAGAGGGTGACCAAATGTTAAAATTGAATGGTAAATGACTAAATTGGTTTTGGTAAAAGCGTGTGAATTTTTCGTGGAAGAAATTGAATGTTAAGAGTTGATGAATTTGAATGAAAAATCTTTTAAAATGGCCGGGAAAACCTATAGGGCCTAATAATAAAATGTGGTTTTCAAGGGGGGTGATCACTTGGTCAGATTATTTAGCAGCACATAGGCTAGATAGCTACATGTAAAGTTACATGTAGCTCTATGTTGCACATTAACATGTAGCAAAATAGTTTGAACATTTTCCTGTAGCTTATTATACAGGGTGTCTAAACAAAAAACAACCCGTAAAGCACCTTCTTTTCCACAGCTTTGCAAAAAATTCATCATCACTATCTATACATATTTAGAGAGTATAATTCATTAGCTTTTTAACAACGAAAAACTCTTTCCAATTGGGTAAATATTTCTTGAGTTAATGGGAAATTGAAACAAGTGCCCCTTTTTCATTTTGTGCACCGCGACTGATATTTTGACTGTTGCAAAAAGAACACGCGCCAAAACTTGCATCCGGTGCAAAAGGCTACCAAGTAGAGGGCAGAGACAAAGCAGCATGGTAAACATGTAAGAAGTTAACTAAAACAGTCCTTTGCTGGACTACCACCATTACATCCAAAAGGATAAATGACCACTGTTGCAATCAATAAGAGATAATAAAGAACCAAATAAAGAAAGAAAGATTAAAACATTGAAGAAAGCAAAACTATACCCTCGTCCTAAATCCAGTACATTCATGACAATTGAGACCGTGGACAGATTGAAAAATCGGCGCTTATTTTGAATTGGCCATAGCTCAATAAATATTTATCCCATTGGGGAAAGATTCCTATATCTGGCCATCACTTGTCACCCTGTGCACAAACCCAAGAGACTGGTCTGAAAATGTCTAAGTGTGTTCTCAGTAAGTACTTCAAATATTTTCCCTACTAATTTTGACATTTTAGGGCAGATCATCACAATCTGATGGCTGATACATGTAGGTCATTGAAGGAAAACATTAGTGATGGCTAGATATAGGAATCACTCCCCGATTGGAAAGATGTTTTCGTTGTGGAAAACCTAATGAACTATACTCTCCAACGATGTTTGCGATGAGGGTTCAGGTGTTTTTTTTAGACACCCTGTAGCTTTCTGTAAATCATATATCACTTGACAGCCCATGTTTTGATTGCATAAAGATATACAGATTGCATAAAGATATATACATGTACATCCCCATAAGTTGGCTTTTTGTTTATGCAAAAAGCTACTGGTCCCAGTATAACACGTTGAACCCATTCTGCAGCAGTGAAATTGTTTCATATACATGTACAAGTATTTATATTTCCAGCTTTTGCCATATGGCAAAATAAAACTGAAGGGTGAAATTTATATCTGTAGGTTTGGTTTAGTTTACATGATTGTTAGTTTTGTTTAGGCCCAAAAAAAATAATAGTTCTGCGTCTGCTGGTTACCCTACCTACCCTATTTTGACAACCCCTACCCTAATTTGTTTGTGGGGCAAATTGGGGGGGGGGAAATGAAAATCATCAATTACTACCTTTTACCCTAGTTTAAAACAAGCAGACACCTCCGTATGATTTCCAAACAAACAAAAAATTCCCTACCTGTCGGTACCTATCCTATTTTCCAATACCATGTTATCGGAAGCAACTATTTTTCGGGTTTTTTTGGCCTTAGTTTTCATGTTATACATGTATTTTACTTAATGCATTTTTTTTATGAAAATAAACAAGCATTTTGGTGCTCGCTACAGTTGTTTGAGTGTGCTTTCTTTTTCAAACGTGTTTTCAACAATGAAAATTGTTTGCTGCTTTAAAAATACACATTGAACCATTGTTTATTTTTGCAACAAATATTCACAAGAGCTCCATTGACATGATATGCAATAAAATTTGATACCAAATGAAAAAATTTTCATGCCATTTTAATTGTTTTGTATAGGCCTACATGTACATGCATGTATGTAACTGAAAGTAAAATAAAATAGAAGATTATCACGGTAAATATTTTTCCCCGAGTAGGTAACACGTGTACAATTTTTTTCACTTGAACATTCATTGCTCCACGCACTGGCAATGCAGGTTACCGGATCTAGCATGGTTGAGAGAGAGAATACCCTGTTAAGTGTATGGCATTCATTTACATGTTTTACAATTAATTAGCAGTTGTATGGTTTGCATCAGGTTAATATTTTATGATGTGGTATTTAACCGATCAGTTAAGAGAGCCAGAGGTGTATTCTGATACATGTACCGGTAGTTGTAGGCTTCAGACAGTTCGCTGTGCAGTATTGAAAGTTTGTGTAGTCTGGGTATGGCATATGGTAGTTTATTGCTGACGTGTAATTAGAGGACTAACTTGATGTCTGGACTGAAAAGTTAAATGGAAAAGATGCACCTGATCATTTTCCCAGCTGGTGTGTGGCTGCTCACAAAGCAACTGCTGTGGTGGCTTTGGCTTCTGTTTTTGTCATTTGAAGTGTACAGGGAATAGCCGTAGCCCTGGACAATAACTGGTTCAGGCTCGGCACCCCTATGGTATTGGGATGCTAGAAGTGTGCGTACATACATGTATGGTTGGATACACGTGTACAGTGTGTGCACATTGTTATTGGAGCATTCACGAGATTGAGTGTGGGTGTCACAAGGGGGAGCTTTTGTGAGATTTACCCGGAAGATCTCGGAGAAGTTTCAACGTTTTCGAGGAACACATGGAGGAAAGAGCTGTTGGAGAATTTTGTGACGTGAAAACTGACCACTGTGCAACTTGGATCTGATTTGTTGACTTCAGAAAATTGTTTGCCTGGAAACAGCAAATGCACATAAGGCCACAATTTCTTGCTATTGAGGGCTATGGTCTAGGTCTTTGGCCATTATGAAGGAGCAAACTGACAATAGCCGTATAGACAAATGCACATACTCCGGGCTCCATCGACCGGACCAATACATGTACGGTAGGAATAACAAAATGCAGTTGGGCCTCGTCATTATAAGAACGCATGCAGTAACGGCTTCTAATTCTGGTAGTGAGATTCCACTATAGCCAAAGATCTGGAGGCCCATTTCGACACTGCCCAACTACCAGCGATAATGCTTGTACATGTAGATGCTATTGCAAAATGTCGACCTAACACACCACTTTCGTGTATGCTTATTTGCTGGTTCCAGTTTGACACCGAAACTGTTTGCATTTCACTTCAAATTGGTGTCTGTTGGCCCTCATTTGGGGCATTGACATCACTGGCAGTGCACGTTTCTGCACGTAATCACTGTCATTAGTGTAAATCTTTAGTTTGCATACCTGACTTGAACTTTGAAATCTTCATGCCTAGCCAGTGCACATGTACGCACCCTTTTATGGAATGGAATGAATAAACGTCAGTAGACAAGCCCTTATCAGTGCAAACACTACTTGGGCCGGTTCGCTGTCTGTGACACACGGCATGAGACTGGCTTGAACCAGTTCTAAAGGCAATGTATCGTTTAGGTGACAAACAAGTGGACTTTGCCTGTCTTAATTGAATGGTGTGGTCGTTGGAGTATTTGCGATTGGTTCAGCTCACAGACGAGCCCCTTTTTTGAATGATGTACCGGTTATTCAGTTTCACAATCGCACGAGGCCATTCAGGTACATGCATGGTTTGCATGTGGTCAAAGGAAGTCTGCAAAATGCTGGTTGCCGCGGGCGCATCCTTTCAAAGAAGTCGGTGGATGGGACAGTGTATTGTCTTCTGCAGACTCCAGGGACCTTGTTAAACATTGGGTCTCCAAGCTGCCTGGATAAAGTTGTCTTACTACATGTACATTGTCGTAGTAGTGGTTTGCTGAGTATTGGCCTCCAAGGGCTTACAACTGTTGTCCTGGTGTGGAGAGCAGAAGCATCTGTTCTCGGATGAAGCGGGCATTGCTTTTCTAACAAGGAAATCTGCAAGGAGTATTGCTTAGTTTTCTACATGTGCAGTGCACTGGTTGTTAATACTTTGTGTTGCTAGAGCAGTACTGCAAGTCTGCATACAAGTACTAGTTTGTGTATCCATCCAGCATCAATTCTACCTAATATTGCATGGTCATCATCGATTAACTTCAGACATGTGGCGCAAGCCTCATCATAGTTTCAACGGAACGTGACTCGTGCAGTATTGACAAGACAGTAGAAGGCCTGGACATACCTGTAGCTCCACTTTGTACATTGCATGGTAACTCTGCATTTATGTGTGTCAACATGAATATTGGTCTGTTTGTATTCATCCGAGATCTTTATGACATCCACATGTACGGAACTTGAGCGCAAACGTGACATTTACAGGAGGCAGATTGTATTCAGCAGATACCCTGGAGGTTACTTTGCAACAGGCCAGACATCATCTGCGTTTCACGTTCTGCCACTGTGAATACAAATTAGCTTCTAATGGAACAAAAGCAGACAGGCACATATCTAGAGGAATCAAACTCAATGTGCAATAGTGTACATGTATAGGCCCTCAAATCTCTTCAAGTGATTTCATCGAAACGTTAACTGGTGTCCTTATCCCCAACGAGGTATATCCCCGGGGTCACTGTACAAATAAGGCTGCAGTGTCTTCAGTGATACCTAAAAGACCTGATCGACACTTTGTAAACCCAATCTTCTTGAGAACATGTGCACTGCTAAAGTGGCAGAGCGACTTCGGAGTTGTGATTTGGAGCACATGCCAGATCACATCTGCCACAAGGATGTTGGAATTGGAGCAATGTATCCCAGAAGCACCTTTCGGCTGTGGGAAACCATGCATCTCCTGCTAGTCCTGTGCCTCATGATTGCTGCTTATCTCGGAGCCGTCTACCGGCAACGACTAAAGTATGTCTACGTACTATACAGGGTACAATGTACATGTATACAAAGCAGCTGCATATTTTTATGTTATAAGCTTTAAAGGGAATGTACATCATTGGCTTTTGCTGTAATTTTTAGAAATGAACTATTTGAGGGGTTAGTATAATACCGGTAGATCAAATATTGTTACACTAACTTGTTTGAAATTTTGTGTTCGAAAATGCTGGAAAAACCAAGAAAAACAAAAATGTTTAAGCAGTCTGGTTCCCTGACTGCACTCAAGATGAAATAGATCAATATTTATAGGTGGCGGAAAATTGTAAGGTAAGGGAACCAGTCTAGCCTACATGTACCGGTACCTGCACCCGTTCATAAACATCTAACCAATGGCAAACAAAATTTGGACTGAAAAAAATGGTAAATTTGAATCAGTAGTTGAAAAATAGTCAGGTTTTTCCAACGGTGGTCGGCCGACCACCATTGGAAATGTATACGAAAGTACTATTTTCTTGAAAATGACTTCACACCAGGTGCCATAATTTTACAGGATGCTTTCCACTGTCATTTATCAACATCCTAGTAAAGTTTTTCGTAAAAACTTGGTAGTTTTATTTTTCGATGTTTGCAAATGGTGTACATGTATATTTCCTTTAAAGATGTTTGCTTTCATACATGGGTCATTCTATAAATTTAGGGTCCAAAGTGTGACATTTTCCCTGTCCCTGTTACCTCGGTACTTTGTAATTTGCCATTCAACATCATTAAGAATGACTCAAATGATTGTTTATTTGTTGGGTAGGTAGTTTGCTATTCATAATCACTCTTGGAGGATGACTGCATTAAGGAGTGCATCAGAATTATGCAATCATAGATGTCAGATGTAACAGGGACGGGAGAAAAAGTGGACCCCAAATTTATAGAATGACCCACATGTAAGTTGTTTGTCTAGTGTCATCATTTCTTCACAGTTTGTCTCAACATGGAGGTAGGAAACATGGTCTCAATGGTCTCGATCTACGTTAATGCCCATAGGCTGTGCAGCATATTGGCAATTCCATGGTTACAAAATGTACATTTTGCCACATCTTGCCTTTATGAGGGTAATGATAAATGAAGAGCAGGGGTGTGAAATCTCAGCTTTATAGCTGATTTCAGCTTTTTTTGTTTTGGATTTCAGCTATTTTCCCTCACTTGCTGTGTACAAAAGTATAGGAGATTTCCAAAGTTCAGCTTTTTTAACACCTTTTTCAGCTTTTTTCAGCTATTTTCAGCTATTTTTGTCAGAGGTGACTCACACCCCTGGAAGAGCAACTTCAGTATTAGAAAGCATAGGGAAAAGCAGTCTGGTAACTCACAGTCATGACAGTATAGTTGAATACTGGTAAATGTGACTGCCTGCCTCCGATCCCTTTCAAACTTCATGCAAACTTTACTGTGAGCCAAGCAAAACTACATGTAGGGCTTACATGTACATGTATGTGTTTACGGTATAAAAGGGAAAATTCATCATTTGCAAACATCAAAAAATAAAACTACCAAATCATTTTGAAATACTTTGCTGGACTGTTAGTGAATGACAGTGTAAAGCATCCTGTAAAATCATGGCACCTGGTATACTGTCATTTAAAAAAAAAAGTGGTATTTTTGTATCAATTTCCAACGCTGATCGGCCGACCAGCGTTGGAAAAAACTGGCTTTTTTTTTCTTCAAATACTGGCCCCAGTTGACCATCGCACTTGTTTGCAATCGATTACACACCTATGAACGGGTACAAGCCAGCTAGACTGGTTCCCTGACCTTACAATTCCCCAATGTATGTAAACTGCTGGCTCTGTTTCTTCTTAAATGGAGTCAGGGAAGCAGACTACAGGAAAATGATTGTTTTTCTTGGTTTTTATAGCATTTTCGAACCCAAAACCTCAAAAAAAAAGTCAGTGTAACTATATTTGCTATATATTTCCAACCCCCCAATTCCATCCATTTCTGAAAATTACAGCAAAAGCAAATGATGTATATTCCCTTTAACCCAACCTACTTGGATTTTTATAGCCAAATTGCATTTATCTGGCCTGCCAGCTCTTACGCATTTCAGGTTATTCTCACGCTCTCACGCCCACACGGGATTTCTCACACTAAAAAAACCCTTCAAAAATGATGTTTACAATGTAAATGATTATCTTTTGCTTTAAAAAAAATGGTTAAGGTGGTCATAAATTGCCTCGGATGGTCACCACAGAGCATCTAGAATACATGGGGTTCGAGCCCCGAACCCCCACGCTTCGCGCTCGCATTTTTTCTGATCAAGCTCCATCGGCAATTTCTCACTCTCGGCCCTTACTCATCAAAGTGGGCAGCCCTGCATTTATGCACCTCAAACTTTTTTATTTCAAAATTTGGCCAAAGTGTAAAATAATGTATATTTTTTAAAGTAAAAAAGATACCCTGAAGTAAACAAAGTTTACCAACAAAGAAAAAATTAAAAATATAATTATTTTCCTATTTACCTACCTGAACCATTTTTATGGTGTTAACCATGAACACACTTTTTGTGGTTTTTTTCAGCGTTGCACAATTTCAGATTTAAATATGAGCCTGCTGTTCACTGTAAAAGGTGATAAAGAAGTGCAAGCATAAATTTCATTTTGGGGTTCATAACCTGGTGGTATGAGTAGCACAATTCTTCGATATTAGTTAAATTCACGTACAATGTACTAGTATGAATGGTAGGGGGAAGAGAATTTCCAGTCTACAAATGATAAGATGTTCATCATCAATATGTTGAACATTTCATGGCTTGACATGACATGTAATCGGCAAACTCCACTTTGATAAGTTAAAATGTAACTACATGTACATGTACCATAGATTGCTGGAGATATGCAGATATTTTCCAACTGAAATGCCACATCTTATCAATTCTGCTTGCCCTCATGCATACGTATGGACACACATTCCACGTGTACACTTGTGCATTCCACATTCAGTAACACGCCCAAATGTATTGGATTGTGGTGATTTTAATCTACCATGTCTACAGGTTAATATTCAGTTTGAAATGTCAGCTGTGTTCAATACTGTAAACAATCCAACAGATGTTTTGATTTAAAGTCAGACAAAAAAAATCAATATTTGCCGTCCGCATATTTAAACCATACACTGTATTATATGCAGCATTGGCTTTTGACTTTTATCCAGCAGTCTATGTCTGGTCTGTGTTGTTTGTCTTTTTCATGGACTTTATGCTCAAATTCATCCTGGATTGTGGTAAAAGTTAATCATGCGTACTGTACGTGTACAATAGCTTTTTAGACAGTTGATTGCTATTGCTACCGTGCAACATGTCATGTGCAGTCTTCTCATTGCAAAGACATGATTGGTTTGCACGCATTTGGTTAAAATTTAGTCGCGGGCACTCCACGCCATGCATCAAACATTGTGCAACACAGATTAGTTTGCGCATACGATGTGTACTTCATTGTCTTGTGAGAAGACCAGGCTGCACTGCATGGTGTCCATTCACAATATTTCATCACCAAACTTGTCTTAGAGTGGTGGTCAGTTCATGCAAATCTGACATCCTATTAAAACATTTGCTGTGAAATTTGCCGGATTTGAAATGTGCTAAACTTTTTGCAAATTTGCAGTGCGAAAACTTGCCGTAGCATCATACATGTACATGTGAATTCGCATTTGTGTTCCCTTTCACGTTGAGTATTACCCGGCCTTAAGGAGTGGCATATCCGTCAGAAAGAAAGTTTATTCTTCTGCTTCTACTTCTTTACTGCCTCTAATCAAGAGGCAGACTGGATTGTTCTCAGCTATCAACTTTTTTCAATGTGTTGTGGTTTCTTTTTTAATCTGTTTCAGCATGACTGATGAACTACATGTAGTTCCTGTTGAAGATGTGCCACCAGAGACCGCTAACTACTCAGATGAGTTGATGGACGGCAGAATGCACGTACACATACCAACAGACCAGCAACAGGCTATCTCCAACAGTGAACAGTATGCATGTATTCCTCTTTCTCAAAATATTAGCAGTTCATGGAAAACAAAGCAACTCGGATGCACATCACTAATTACATATACATGTACATGTAGGAGCAATTCACAATGCAGTGCACTACTACAAAAGGTTTTGCCAGGGGCCATTTTTATCTGAGGGATAGCAGCTCAACAAATCATGTCTCTCTGTTAGTCCTTTAGTTAGTTAGTTAGTTAGTTAGTAACAAACTTTGACATTGTTTATTGCCCCTACGAATTTAGACCGATTTCAACCAAAATTTGTCAAAAGTATCAGTAGCCAAGCCCCAACATGTCACATGACCAAACTGGGGTCAAAAGTCATCATGGGGTCACTGGGGTCAAAAAGTGATTTTTTTTTTTTTTTTTTTTTTTTTTTACTCAAAAAACTGCTCCTTCCAGAAAGTACATGGCACAATCACGTGACTCATGCATGAACACAAATTCGTTGGGCCGCAGCTTCGAGATATTTCCGATCGAGCTTGTTCAACATATCTGCGCAAAATTGTATTCCTTTTGCACAAGCACTTGGCAGTTATGAAGCTTTGGTGTTACTTTTTGTTATTCTCTCCTTTTTTATTTCAGATTCGAAAATCCAGATAAACTTCAAGATAACTTAGAAACCCCTCTAGCAAAGTCAGATTCCCCAAACGAGAAAACTACTGAAATAGAGAACATGGATGCCACTGACGAAATCCCCAAACTTGATGTGGAAAATGTCGGGAATGTTGCAGAAACTGACACAAGAGCCCAGCAGATTGAGAGAAAAGTTGCGACTGACAACATCGAGAGCGATGTTCCAGCCAAGACCACTGAAAGCCAAGAAGCTGTTGGAGAAGCTAAGCCACTGTCAGATATGGAAGAGGAAGCTAAACAGGACGTACCTGAACCTCCTCCCCAGGCAGAACTTTCTGATAAGACTGCGCCGGTCGCAAAAGATCCTGGCACAGACTCAGTTGACGGTACTTCTGTTGGACAGGATCAAGATTCTAAAGACAACTTGCCTGCTGGTGATACCCCTGAGATTATTAAAAAGAAGCCTGAAGATAGCTCTCCAGAAGAACCGAAAGAACCAAAAGAAGAAATTCCAGCTGTTGATAAAGATGATTCCGTAAAGAGAGTGGAAGAAGAGAAAGTTGTGGAAAAGTTGGAAGAAGCAGATGAGAAGCCCGACCTGCCTCATAAAGACGAGGAGGAGATGCCCTCATTTGATGAATGGAAGCAGAAGATGTTGGAGCAGCATGAGCAAGAGAGACAAAATGGTAAAAATCATGATTAAACTTAACCCCTCCACATCTTTCAAAATCCACCAGAGAGGTGTTGGAAGATTTTGAAAGATATAGGAAGATACGAGAAGATCAAAATAGTTTGTCAGTTTTTTCCAGTCTCAGAGGGGATATGTTTGGAGGATTCAGGAAGGCTCCGAGCAAAATCACCTGGGGAGTTGAGGTCCATAACTAATTACCCTGCTGGATCCAACAAGATTGTAACAGCATTTTATTTGCTGTTGGATTTTGTTGGTTGAGCGCTGAACAGAAGATCTTTTGCTCTCATTGTCGGATCCTGTTTGACAGTGCTTCATACTGTTGGATATTGTTTAATTCAGCAGGATCCTCATTAAAACCTTAGCAGGTTTTTAGCGTTTGCTTGTCTGCTTTAATAACCCTAACCCTGCCATACACAACATGGTGCATCAGGTGTAAAAGTCTGTGGGACCTTGCTGCATTGAGCCATCAACACCAGTACATAAACTGCCAATTCTGAAACAATATAGAGCTAGTCCTATTGAACGATGCCAAGTTGCATCCTGCTGCTTGTAGACGACCGCAGACGCTGAGGCAGTTTGGCCTTGACACCTTTAACCTGTTGGGTCTTGCCACACTGAGCAGGCTTGTCATTTTGACAAGTGTTGCATGTTGCTGCATTTAGCAGGGTTTCTAGCCAACATACCCTTAAGGATTAGGGTTAATTTATCTGTTGTATAGAACACTGTTAAGGGAGGTTCACTTAAATGTAGGTTCACTAATACTAGTCAACCACACTCAATTTCTCCAGGCCAAGCAGGTAAAGGCAGTGCAGTCCCTCCCCCGCGCTCCTTCAGCCTGACGGAGAACAGCAAGAACCACGCCACGTCAGATTGCGGCGCCAAGATCCTGAATTGCAACAAGGAATCCCAGAATGCACCTGCCATACTCCAGTCCAATAGGGACGTGTACACCTTGAATCCATGTTCTGCAAATATCTGGTGAGCACAAACTCAAAACTGCATTTTAACTATTTGCACATGGCAAGGCGATGTACCTGTACATCGTCTCAAAATGGGGGCCATTGGAGTTCAGAATGGCTCAAATGTGGAACACATAGTGTATTGCTTTTATTCTAAGTAACACAATTAAACATAGTTTAAGCGATAACTTGTACTGAAATTCCTGCTTAGAAGTTCACAGTACATAGATCTGCATTTGTTAGCCAGTATAGAATGTCAATTTTATATCTACGGTAAGCCTTGCAATTTTTTAAACAAAATACTCAAGTAAATTGTTATCTTTGTGTAGTAGTTAGGGAGTAGTTTTCTATTTGATGGCACATTGATTGCTGCAAAATCTTGTACCATTGTTTGATACTTGCTGATTGTTGGAAGTCAAACGTGAAGTGTAAAAATTGGCTTCTTAAACATGTTTAAAGGTAGAGTAGATCATGTGCAGCTATCCAAAAAGTAACTGACAAAATTATTGTTAAAAAGCTTACTTGGTGTAAAGATAGTAATGACACTAAACTCCCTGTGAAATTATTCCTTCTGGCATGCTGTGATTTTGAAACAACCAAGACGCATCTTTGAAAATTTCCATTAACAATTCGTTATTAATTTGGCGAAGCCGTGAATGGGTGCATGTAAGCGTTGACACGACACGGTTCCTATAATTCGTCGGTTCAGTGCCTGACATCGCGTACATGTAGCTGCAATCGGCTGAATGAGAAAGTGTCCCGGACGCTGATTTTGGACGCAATTCAAAACATGACTCGGCAACTTCTAAATTGAAATCAAGATCCTAGAATATTGTTTTCTCAGAATATACATCATTCACAGAGCTAAAACCTCATCAGGTTTATAGTTGTTCAGCATCCTTCTTGAGATTTTGAGCACTTTTGTTGCTCCAAACGAAAAAAATGCACAAATGGCAAATGATATCCTCTACCTTTAAAGCAAATGCTTATTGGTGTACATGTACTCTATGAACTCCATGCTGAAGTATCCACGCAATAGTCACAGACACTGGTAGAATCCGGATTCTTAACACATATTAGAACCTGGTCATGCTGGTGCTCGGTGTTCGCACATTCAGATGAAAATTACTTCACAGTCCATAGGCTTTTGAACCTGTGCATGCACACACTGTGTCCCGCTCGTGTGAAGCTCTCATGTAGTGATCACAGAGCATGGAGTCCATTGTGAATACTTTTTTATATAAGGCTGCATCCGAATCAGCTTTCTAGAGCTAGGTCTAGGTCTGCGCCCATGGAAAATACGCGGGGACGCGCTGACTATAAACGTAGCCGTAGCTCTGGAAGCCCGTTTCGGACACGGCCTAATTTTTTTGGAGTGATAACCAATAAGCATAGGTTGCTTACTTTTAGGCTTGGTGTACATATACATGTACATTCTTTTTATTATTTGCTCAGGTTTTCTGTGGAGTTGTGTGAGCCCATTCAGGTCAAGTACCTAGAAATAGCCAACTATGAGTTGTTTTCATCCGTACCCAAGAGCTTTCGTGTCTCCATCAGTGACAGGTCAGTCTTAGTCCCTCAATAATTGTTTCCGGTTTTTTTCTTGGTAGTGCAATAAAAGGTTTCTCAAAGGTGCACAGGCAAGTAAAACGAAAAAGCTTCAAGGAACCTGTGGAGGGATACAGTTTTTGACGTTGGGGGAAAACCCTAGAATGTTATCCAGGGAAGCCCATAAATTGGCCACTTTTCCCTTTTTGGGGGTGGGCATCATACAATTGTGCCCATTAGAGCTGCAAAGTCTCTAAAGCATTGGATACCTTTAAAGCCCAAACATTTACTGTACAGTCTTTGTACAGAATTATGTGTCATATTCTACTAATTCCTTTAAGGTTTTTTATTATTTACAGATTTCCAACTCGTGAGTGGCGACAACTGGGAACATTCCACGCTCGGGAGGAGCGCTCACTGCAGAGCTTTCCTGTCCATGAGGAGCAAATGTTTGCCAAGTACATGAAGATTGAGATGCTCACGTTCTTTGGCAATGAGCACTATTGTCCTCTAAGCACGCTCAGGTACGTTCACGCACCTTTTGTTTCACTGTATGGGCTCGGTGCACAAGTACCCCCTCAACGGTGAGAAAGGGAGAGTTGGGGGAGACCACTGGGAGAGACATTTAAATGCATTGATGACACCAATGACGCCCCACGCTCATGCGAAGATGCTATGGTTTTGTGCACATTCAGAGTAAAATTAATCATGCCAACTTCGCACTATTCGGGCCAAACCAGTATGCAGTTTGTCCCATGTAGAGCACCATGGTCCAGTGGTTACGGTGTTTGACTCATGTACCATGGTGCGTGGGGTCAAACCCTGCCAGGAACATGGTGTTTGTGCCCTTGGGTAAGACACTTTACTACAATTGCCTCTCTCCACCCAGGAGTATGAATGGGTACCTGTGAGGGTGGAGGACCGAATATGCGCTGATATGTGACCCGTTCTGTCAAAAGCAGACGCTTCTGGGCAGAGGTTGAAATTGAGATAGGGCCAAAAAACGCTGTGGGGGTGATTTTTATCGATTTTCAAATGTTTGCATATTTGTAATCCTGAACATGTCTAAACTATATTATAAAAGTTTGAAACCCTAATTTGAACTCTACAAATACTATTTTTTGATGATTTTGATAAGGTATATCAGTTAAAGAAATAACTGTTTTGTGACATTCGTGGCCATTTTCTCCGTTTTCTACTTTTCGACACAATGAACTTCAAAATAGCATAACTCTGCCCAGGAATGACCGGTTTCAAAAATTAAAACACCTATTAAAAGGAAAAAGAGCATACATGTATGTTATCAATATGTAAAAATATTATTTTCGACCTTATGCCCAGAAAAGTCTGATTTTGACAGAACAGGTCACATATCGGCTGCCGCGTGGTGTTGTGGCCTGATGAACGGGGTAATAATTGTAAAGTGATTTGAGATCGTTGATACGATGGAAAGTGCTATAGCACTACGATTATTATTATTATTATCAACTTCCAATACCGTGGGGAGCTAATATAGACTATCCACACTCAAACCATGTTACCCGGTTTATCTGTATACTGTTTCGGTGCCCATTTGTCAATGTGTTTATCACACTAGCTGTGACAGTTTATAATTAACTAGAGATTTAAATCCTGGATGGTGGAGATTTTGTTTCTCCAGATTTTAATCAGACAAAGTTAATACTTAGCTGTAAATCGCATTACAGCAGGATTTTATAGATAACAAGTTGAAACTCAAAACATGTTTGCATTGAGACTAGGCAGATAATCCCAAACATTGTGGTCACACTAACGTTTGTTGAGAATGTGTGAAAGATCAGTTTAGTCATTAGATAACCACCCAATTATTGAAAGATAATGTAGGTTGCACAACACAGCACTCATCCTGCATGTACGTTGACCCAAGAAATACATTCAAATTAAACACAGCAATTCTTGTGTACTGTGCTTTAGCATTTTAACTTGCCCTATTCCAAACATAAGCCTTAAGCGACTCCATAAATTTTGGAATCGATTCTGTTTCCATTCAGAAATCGCGATTCCATTTGGAATCGATTTGAACTTTTCCCGGCAATAATAACATTGAGAAAAGCCTCCATCCGTCAGTGTCTGTACATAATAATAATAAAGGCATTTATATGGTGCTTTATGTAAAATACCTCAAAGCACCTCCCAATAAACTCTATAAAACCTATTGGCAATGAAAATAGTTTTAAAACAAGTATAAAAGTTACTTTAAGGGTAAAGAGTCTGATTATCTCCCTCGAAAAATGTGTTTTAAAAAGTGAGCTTAACCCTAACCGAACTCAACCCATGAAAGCCCAACAGCAGGTTTTGTTGAAATCTGTTGGCATAGGCACAGTACCCCTAAACTGATGGCCTTTTACATTGGGTTTGGCATACATGTACCTTTAGAAAGTAAGTCCAACAGTGTGTGTGTACGATTTCCCATGTGGGTGTTGGAATTTGCTTGAATGGGTATACTGGGGAGTTAGGGTTAAGCACATTTCAAAATATCATTAGTGTTCCTAAGTGTGAATTTTACACACACACACACACACCCAAATGGATACATTCACGCCTTTCACGGTGCCGTAAACTTCACTGTTCATTAAAAACATGAAACATACGTTTCATTCCAGGAAGTCCCAGCAATTATTCAATGACCAAGCATGCATTTTCATTTATTCACAATCTTAAACAGGCATGCAACTTTTCCTCGGATCCGCTGATTTCTTCGTTCTTTTCTTCTCATGAATGCCATTACAAAGTGAAAAATATGGTACAAAATCTCATGTGGTTTGGATCGTCCTCGTATTTTTCTAAATTCCCAGTTGCATGCCTGTTCAGTTGAGATAAGATGGACTTGTAATGACTTGATTGCAGCTGTGGCTCCTGGCATTGTCTCAATTTGCTGAAAGTTACGGTTACGCTATTTGCATGGCCTGTAACTAGTTGTGCTTCTGTTCAACATTTAGAGTGTTTGGTACCAGCATGGTGGAAGAGATTGACGAGGAGAATGTAGCACAAGAAACCATACAAGACGATTCAGGTAATTCTTCATATCATTCGTGCTTCGGTCTATCTTTGCCTTTCTGTGTTTTGGAGTGTTATAAGAGGGAGGAAGAGTTTGAAACTCATCACTTTACCAATGAGGGTACAACCACAGACGTATAAACGCATAGACCGCCAGTCGTGCGCGTAAAACCGGGATTCGAAAAAGTATGGGCAAAACGCTTGTTGGCATTGCGCGTATCCGCTCGGCGCACGTTCAATGCAGATACATGCTTAGGACACTAAATACATTTACATACCAGGCATAATTTTTTCAGCTAAAAATGGCTGTTTTACTCACAATCCAATTGAAAAAAAGTTGTGCACCTTATTGGTTTGTAATCTACGGTACCTAAATCTTTCTAAGTACACAAGGGATTTTTTTTTGCTATCGAAAAATAACTTCATAGAATTTTTTTAATGGAATAGATTGGGTGTGTGTAAAATCCCTATACCGAGGGGTGAATTTGCCCATAGTTTGGGATTTTAATCGGGCGCCACGAAATCACGGAATGCGCATGTAGTTTCGAATGGAACCTGGCGGTCTATGCATTTATATGTCTGTGGGTACAACACACACTGTTCCTGTTATTCACAGTATCTCAAGTCTCGTTGTAAAAGTAGTACCAAGTCTGACTTTAGTTTCTCATGATGCCCTGCGATAGAGGAGCAAAACCCATCGTTGTGGGTGCAGAGTTTGCATGTTGTTACTGCAGGCTGATGTACTTCGTACTTCAGTAATTTCAGTGCATCTTTGTGCCATTCAAGTGAAAGCAATCCCTCAAATGAAAATTAAAGCTTGCATTAACTAACAAGGTTCCCGGCCAATCTGAAAAACCTTGAAGATGAGTTTCCATTTTTCCAGTCAAGGAAACTCGGGGAATTTAACAGTGACCCAGAAGGGAAAGTTTTTTTTTCACCAGTTTGGTGTACATGTATGTGCATCTTGTGCCGTGTGTCCATGCTGTGTCCATTGACTGACTGGCTATGATGGCTTTTTAGTGTTTATCAGGCATGCAACTTTTCCTTGGATCCGCTGATTTCCGCGTTTTTTACTTCTCATGAATGCCATGACAAATTGAAAAACACTGCACAAAGTCTGTTGTGGTTCGGAGTTTCCTCGTTTTTTTCTGAATTCCCAGTTGCATGCCTGGTTCATGCAGTGTGAATATTATCAGTGTCTAGATGCTTTGCTATAACAACCTCGTGACTTCCCATCGACAAAGTGAAAATATTTCTTATGGAATTTGGGAAAATTCTTGTTGGAAATATCTATCATAGAGTGCTGGGAACTCTGACTAAAGCTCGTCCCCTTTACATTGTATATGGTCAGATAGTCCCCAGTTGAGTGTGTAACAATAAACACCACAATGAAATGTGACCTGTTCTGTCAAAAGCAGACGCTTCTGGGCAGAGGTTGAAATTGAGATAGGGCCAAAAAACGCTGTGGGGGTGATTTTTATCGATTTTCAAATTTTTGCATATTTGTTATCCCGAACATGTCTAAACTATATTATAAAAGTTTGAAACCCTAATTTGAACTCTACATATACTATTTTTGATGATTTTGATAAGGTACGGTATATCAGTTAAAGAAATAACTGTTTTGTGACGTTCGTGGCCATTTTCTCCGTTTTCTACTTTTCGACACAATGAACTTCAAAATAGCATAACTCTGCCCAGGAATGACCGGTTTCAAAAATTAAACCACTTATTAAAAGGAAAAAGAACATAGGTTAACAATATGTAAAAATATCATTTTCGACCTTATGCCCAGAAAAGTCTGATTTTGACAGAACAGGTCACAAATTGGCACAGATTATCTCCTCTAACTTTAAGGGTGGAGGCATCTGACAATAACAGCTATTGTTTTCCTCTTCAGAAGTCTTGCCAGCGCATCCAACCCAAGCCCCCAGTGATGACAACCACGGCTTGTTGCAGAGCGCTAAAGGTCTGGTGCGAAACCTCATGAACGTCATCACAGGCAACGGCAGCGTTAAAGAGGCCGTTCCCTGCAATAGTAAGTTGACAGTTGCTTCGGGTTGTTTTTTTACCAGATCCAAAAATATAATAGTCCTCTGAAAGGAAAGTGATAGGTCATTGGAATTTATGCATGGAAAAAAAACCCAAATCATGGGCTGAAACTTTGAAGACCAACTCCAGTGAGAGAAAAAAATAAGATTTTCAACTTAAATTATGTTTAAGTTTAAGTTTGTTTGATTATTTATAGTCCCTGGCTTCATGTATTAAAGTTCATATTAGCCCGAGCATGTTTCTAGGCTTTTTTCTATTAAAGTCCTATTAATGCCGCTGTGCATGCTCCTTGCCTGTTGTTCTTTTCATGTGATTTTTTATTACCCACCAGCAATGTTTGTCAAGATTGACTGTAGCTGGTGGGATTGAGTTGCGTATAAAAAATTTTAATTAAAAAAATGTTTATTTTGGCTCTCTGTATATGCTATTGAAATGATGACTATACATGTAGTATCGGCGTGGGAAATGCAGGCCGATTTATCCAATCTGGGTAGAAGGCACTCGTTTGCTAAAAACAAAGGGGACGTAGTTTTATGTCTTGAAATGGAGACATAGTTTTGTGAACACCTTTGCAAATTGCGAGCCTGATATAGTTCCTCACACAGAATAGGTACATATAGGTGTCAAAGATCAAACTTATAATGTTATAGTTTTCTATCCATCAGTTGAGTAGGTCGGTACCCATTATTGTGTACGTATTGTTGTTATTTTATTCTCCAGATAAAAACAAGTCCTGCACAGAGGCAGAAGAGATGCTACCCTGTATGCCAGAAGATAAACCGTAAGTGCATGTTTGTTTGGACATTGAATTAAAAGTCTTGCAAACTTGACATCTTGTCTTTGGATATTTGACCCACAAAATAGACTTGTTTTGAAGCGGAATCATTGACTTGCACCCATTTGCCAATGCACCATCACTTCATGCCATTTTACCCCTAGTTATTTTTGCTAGAAACCCTCTGGAAGTCTGCAAAACCTGCCACTATGCAGAAGTCTTGTAGCATGTTCTTGGTACTTTCACACAGTATTAAGTTCCATGTATAAAAGTAATAGCAGCTTGGCTTAACTTTCCTTGATCCTACATAATCCCAAAAGCAGATGCATTTTTTTCTAGGGTCTATGCCACACAAGAATGGTTGTATCATTTTGATTTTGCTTATTCTGTCCTCAGTCCTGCAAAATTCTTACAAATCTTCTGGAGAATTTTGAAGAATCAAGGGGAGTTAGTGCTGTCATAAAACTTTAACCCTAACTCCCCAGGCCCTTTTTTCTAGGATTTAAACCTCAATTCTGCAAAATCCTAAAATGTCTCCATGTAAAAATAACATACAGCCTGATCAATCCTGCAAAATCCTCTGTTATTTCTGGAATGTGATCCTTGGAGGGGTGACCACTGCCTCAATACTGTAAAATCCTCCAGCAATCACTGTCAATATGTTAAGGCAGAACCAGTGACATCCTAGAGCAGTGCGGAGGATTTAAAGTATAATATAGGCCTAAATGTATGCACGGCTGAGCATAAACAACACAAGGTCTGGGCAAATAGACCTTGGCAAAGTGCACCCTCCAAAATCAGCCACACACTTCTGCCATATGGCCTCAATCCTGCAAAACCCTCAATTTTGCAAAGATGATTTGGGAGGATTTGGGAAGGTTAGGGTTAAAGAATCCAAGGTCTGCCTCATTCAACCAATTCAACATTTTACTCGTTAACAGGAAAGAGCTGCAGTCCGAACCTTCCAATGTATCAGCAACAGCTGAACAAGAATCTCTACAATGCAACTCCCAGAACATGTCCAATTTCAGTCTGGACTCGGCCCAGTTCCACAAAGAATGCCCTGGATCGACGAGGTGCTTCACTCCGAACTACGGCGAAAAGTTTCAGGATTGCTGCGTCCGCGAAGTCTCGGCATCCTTACAGACAACGCATTCGTTTCTGTGCTGCAAGGATATGCTTAGTGTGTCGTTGTTGCGCAGTGCGCAGACGCTAGAGCCTTCTAAAGTTCAGAAGGACTCAATAGGATCTCCTAAAGAGGTTGAGCAGGCTTCTCAGAAAAAGGAACAGACAAAATCTGTAGTGGATGACCTTGACGTCCAATCACAGAAGAAAACTTCTGAGGAAACATCTGAACAGAAGCTTGACAGTGATAAAGACCAAATTCGGCGCAAGGAAATTGTGCTTGAGAGTCTTGAGATCTCTCCTAGTGGTGCTACAGTATCCAAAACCACCCCCTCTGAAAAGCATAAACACTCTGAGTCAAAGGAGACGCCAACCAGTACCACATCACCACAGCCAATGGCGACGGCAGAAGCGGGAAACATGCTCCCCTCCCCGACGCCATCTCTAAAAGCCACCTGTGCCACAGTGCCCACACACCAGCCTGGGATCATGCTGCACCCACCGATCAGGCTTGAGCCCACTCGTGTACAGGAAGAGGCCGAGCAACGGGACCGGGAGAGTCCAGAGCAGCTGCCTCCAAGCAAATCACCCGCAGTTGATAAAGAAACTCCTGCTCCACCTGCCAAAGTGGAGAACCTGAAGCCTGAAGAACCTTCTCCTGCGACCGATTCATCGCCTGCAGGTGGGAAGGATGACAGTGCTCAAGTGAAAGAGAAAAGTACTGAAGTGAGTGGTGAATCTCACGAGAAAGCACCAGTTGAGGAAGCAGCGCCCACAGAACTGCAAGCACCAGTTGCAGATACCGGGATAGCATCCAAAGACTCGGCCGATGCCAGGAAACCAGATCCCGCCGTCCCGCAAGACAAAAGCAGACAAGCAGATGCCACAGAGAAGGACCCGGGTAAAACGGGGGAAGCCGAGGACACTAGGAAAAGCCTTAAAACAGAAACCAAAGAGACTGCAGAAGTAGAATCAGTTAGTAAGACTCCCGAGAATGCCAAGTCCGAGACAGCTGGGAAAGGAACCAAAACCGTCCCGGAACTGGGGACCAACGGAAGCAGTGGCCTTGGTTCTGTCGCTCAGAAGGAATCAGTCTTCATGAGGCTGAATAACCGCATCAAGTCACTGGAGCTGAATATGTCCTTGAGCAGCAGGTACCTGGAGGAACTGAGCCAAAGGTAATCAGAATAGATCTTTGTTTTATTACCTGTTAGATTCGGAAGGAAATATAGGAGACTAATCTCTAACCAGGGACATGGTTGAAGGGTGCATGGTTTCTACAAATATCTTCAACAAATTTGGCAAGTAATGAGCAAGTACCGGTAATGTGAGATAAACCTAAGGCATATATTAAGGCGGAGTGGGAGGGCAAAGGCTTTATATCGCTTGGAAAGGTTTTGTGCAGTCATTGTTACTTGATTAAAATAACAAAAATCACCCTCTAAGATACCTGCAACAGTATAAGGTCTATTCTCACAGACTAAAACATTAAAGATATATATTGAATGTACAGGTTCGTGTACTTTTCTCTTTGTCAGAGATTTTCATAACTTTTCTGTTGAGTGTCCTGGAAGGTAATGTTCTCGTGTCCTGCGCCTTCATCAGAAGTTTAATCAGTACATTACTAGTCGTCACAAGTCTATCACAAGTGATCCAGTCACAAGCCATTCAAAATGTTAATTGTTCCCTCCCTGATGACTTGTGGTTGACCAGTGATGGAATCAATTGCAGTTCTGGCCTTCGTTAATTCAGAGACCTGCTGGTTTCTGCTTTGCTGTTTCCAATTGATTTTTAATTGTCCAACGAGTTGTGGCTAATCAAAGTGGCTTGAATTCCCAGCAGATGACCCTGTAAAGCAGCGTTTACAGAAAAATGGGATGCCAGTCATCACAAATGTCATTAATTGGAAGTGAGTTGAGAATATCGTCTATTTCACTCTCTCTCTCTCTCTCTCTCTCTCTCGCAGGTATCGCAAGCGGATGGACGACATGCAGAAAGCCTTCAACAAGACCGTCCAGACACTGACAGAGAATGCCCAGAAAGCAGAAGAGAAGGTGGGTGACATGCATAGCTGCTATATCCCCAAACATAGAGAGTAATTGGTATCCATCATTCATAAACAAGTTCAGGGTTCAGATTTGGCATTGAGATATGCAACTTTTTCTTCTGTTTTCAAAGCCATCGCATTTGAAAAAGATTCTTCAAGGATTAAAACATCATGCCCATATCTTGGTTTCAAAGAACTAAATTGCATTTGAAAAAAACTTTGAAAGAAATTTTGAAGAAATTCAATCGGCATTGTCAATAAAAAGGAAGGTTTTGAATTTCCCCCACTTGTCCCACAATTGACCTATCGCCGTTTGCGAGTTAGCCACGCCCTTTAGACAACCCTATGGAATTTTTGTATGTTGTTAAGTTTTGTTTGTCTCAGATGTTGCGTGTTCCGCATCCATTTGTATATATCATATAATTGGACAATATTTCACAAGCTGCGTTGACGCAATTCTAAGGCGATTCTACCGCGATAGGTCAATAGCTTGTTGGGTGGTAAAGCCTTTGAGCAGATTGTATCTATGGGGTTGTATTGGATTGTATCTATGAGATTGTATTGTGGGGTGCTGTGGTCCAATGGTTACGGTGTTCGACTCGTGTGCCGTGGTACATGGGTTCGAATCCTGACCGTGGGAACATGGTGCTTGTGCTCTTGAGCAAGGCGCTTTACCATTATTGCTTCATCCTTCGGATGGGACGTTAAGCCGTAGGTCCCGTGTGTTGTGTAATACCCTTTAAAGAACCCAGTGACACTTATCGCTAAGAGAAGGGGTTAGCCCCGGTGTTTCTGGCAGTGGCTGCAATATGCGCCGCAGTACCTTGTAAACCATTATAAGGTACTACATAATGGGTCTCATATTTCTCATAAACTTTATTTACCTTTCTTTAATAATAGACATAATTTCCAGCACCTTGAGTACCTAATTGTTGGTAGATACGTGCGCTATATAAGACTCCGATATTATTATTATTATTATTATTATTATTATTATTATCTCTTCAGTTTATATTGATACGCTATACATTTATTTTTGCCCTTCAGGACCAGAGACAGCAGGAGTACATCACCCGACTGGAAGGTCAGATGTCAGAGGTCATGATGAACCTGGAGGCAACCAATCAGAGATTGGATGGCCTCCATAAAGAGGTAAGGAAGAATCCATTCAGCCATCTGTTTCCTTCCCCTCGGCTAAACCCACGGAAAATTATTTTGTTCCTGGACTCTTTATTAAGCAGGTAGGCTACAGGAAACCTGTTACAGAGTTTTGTAATGGAGTCCTTCACAACTGACAACTATTCAAAATCTCACACAGTGCTGGTGCAGTGCACAGTAACCTTTGCCTCTTTGACAATTTCACCGACAACTAAGGTAAAAAGGTAAAGGTCCCATAGCCTTTACTGGCCGTAGGGGCAGTGGGATGTTAGAGGTCCACTGTGGACGTTGGGTGTGGCATATGAGTGGCGGGGCCCAGTCCTCTCCTCTCGCCGTCTTACCTTCCCTGAACGAATCAGGTACCCATTTTGCTGTTGGGTCGTCAGAGAGAGTTTTCCAGTTTTTGGTCCGAATAGGATTCGAACCGCCAACCTTCCACTCCATAGCTCTGGGCTACGAGGCCCCTCTGTCAATTCCAATCAAATTTCTACAAAAAAAATGATCAAATCTAAATCCATGATTTGCAGTGTGAACAAGGAAATAATAGCCACTTGTCGCTCTTCTGTTGTCATTTTTCAACAACAATTTTGGTACGTTTTGTACACAAAAAAACGGGAGCCAAAGACAATGTTCGGTATAGCCGAACGTTTGGTATAGCGGGGTTCAGAGTATCGACGTTCCACTGTCTGTACACATATTAATTATGGAAATGCTGGATTCATGTGTATATCTTTCCGTTTCAGGTTGCAGAGCGCCACTTATTCTTCCTGTTCATCGAAATCGTCCTGATGAGCTTCATCTTCCTGATTTGCATAAGACGCGTCCGTAGAGGGCGCTCCATAGCCAGCCACAGTACACCTTTTGTCGTTCGTAGTCACGACAATGGCATCAGGAGAAACTCCCATCCGTCAGTATCCGAGAAGAAGGGGCTTGAATATGAGAACAGGACTCCGCCACGGGTCGGCCAAAGAACCATATCAGGAGGTAAGGACACTTTTAATTATACTCCTTTTCCAGTATTGGGTGCTGCCCTTCACCGACATATTTTATAAACATAGTAGACTTAACAATTGTTGACTGCTGTGATGTGGGATATGACGTTTAGAACACCCTGGGGCGCATAGCACCTGAGGCAAAGCCAAGGGTGCTGTGCGCCCCGAGGGTGTTCTAAACGTCATATCTCACATCACAGCAGTCAACAGTTGTTTTGTTATACCTCTGTCTTGGATTCTTTTGATTTTAATGTAAAAATCGCAAAAACAGTAAACACAACAGTCATGACAATCGAACATCAACTCACATGTATGCATGTTGCGTGCTAGAAACAGCTGATCGTCTGCTAGTTCCCTGCTCCCTCTCATATGTGAAAACATGGTGAAAATAACATGGGTACCAACGATACCAGCATTTCACACCATACGTACCCAGTACGTACAAAGTCATAGCACACTCCCTGTGGGATATCACGTGCATATCCCACAGGGAGTGTGCTATGACTTTTAATATAAACTTAACACGTGATCGTTCTAGGCCAATGAAAATACAGTATTCAAGACAAACAATAACAATCAAATAACAGGACAACAAATAACAGGTATAACAATCAATGTTGTCAAAGGACTTGCAGGGGAAAAAAATCACAAGTTTGCTCGTTTCGGACTTGAACCCACAACTCGATTTGAACCAGCCAGCTGACACCTGGCAAGCTCGGTGGTCGATTGGTAAGACGTTTGCATTTGAAGAGGAGGTCCTGATGGGTTTGCATGAGGCATGAAACAGCCTGAATAAGTGACAGAATAATTGAGACGGATTGCTAAGCTCTGATTGTTCATCTTTCTGCAGGTAGCTGTGATGATCTGCTTATCATCGGCCCCAGCACTCCATTCTTGGAATCTCTCAAGCAGGTAAAAAGAATTTAACCAAAGCTAGCAATTAAAGAAAACCAGCTATCATTTATGGGCAAGTTCGCGCAAGAACTATTGTTGACCAATGGGTAACCATAGTTCGACTAAAGTTAGCCCAAACTGTGTCCAGTCGACGATGGTTGACTACGCTAGTCGACTATTTGGAACCAGCCTACTGGGTCTGGTTGCATCACTGGTTACCAATAGCCCCGCGTATTCATAATGTACAGCAGGGAGCCAGGACCCAGAAGTTTTGCGATGACATTTGACCAGCTTTTTACAAGAGATGTGTAAAACCTTTAAACAACGTTTATCTTTCGGCTGAGGATGTACTTTCGTAAAGATTGAGTTGAAAGTGCTTGTGTGGGAGACTCATTCCAATGCACGACTAGTCAACAGTGCATGTGAACCCAATGCACTAGCTTGTGTTTAAGAACAGTTTTTGAGTTGTGAAATATTTACTTTGTGTTTACACGTGGAAGCAGTGTTCATATTTCATTTGAAACGATTGTGGCTGTTTTGTTTTCCAAATAGGTCAATGAGCCCCCACGCCAGAAACCAAAGAACAAAGCCAAGCACAAACCTACCAAAAGCATCTCCAACTCCGCCCTGCAACAAAGTCATCAACCCACCGTCCCGCCCAAACGAGCATCCAAGATGACGGCCGCCGGCGTCCTCTTCAGGGGCTCCGCTTTCAGCGGGGGGCGGACACCCCCGGACTCCCCCACAGATCCCGTCCATAGGACGGTCAGTGCTGAAGAGATAAACGGCCGTGTGCAGGACATTAGCAGGGGTGCTCCCCCTATGAGGCAACAACAACAACAACAACAACAACGTCCCAAAGTGGGAGGCAGGAATGTGGTGAAGAAGCATGGGCTGATGGTGAATGGTCGAAGGTAGCAGCTGATCTAGATACCTAAGATATCCAGTGATCCTGTGCTGTAGACCTGTCCTGGCGTGCTACCACAGAGGCTGCCTTCAGTAGCGAAAGCATTGTGCTAGTTGTTGGTCAGATAGTCCATCATGGGGTAGTTGTACAACAGCATGCACAGTGGTTTGTCCATTGAAGGAAGCCCCTTGAGTTTACAGTGATCACTGGTATAAGAATTGGTCACGGAAAACCCAAATTTTGTCCTGGAAAAGTCATGGGAAAAGTCATGGATTTTCATTTGAAGATTTCCGTGGGAACACGTGCAGATTAGTCTTTACCAGTTAACCAAATTCAAAATGTGTGCTTACAGTGATTCACTGTTGTTAGGTACTATGTAAAAAAATATATATTTTTTTCTTTTTTCCGTCAAAGATGTTTCATATTGTAATGTCTTTGTAATGCTTTAAGCACTTTCGACTTGTCTGAATGTTATAACAAATGCTGCTTTATCAGCCTTTATGTAACAGCGGGATGTTAAAAGTCAGGCTATGAAAACAATTTAAAATATACGTATTCATTGAAAAGTTACATTAAAAAAAGCAGAAACATGTACTATATTTGAGCTTTAAAAAAATAGCCTGGTTTTTTTTCCCCTGTACAGTTTTCTTCAAGCATTGTGATACCAAAACTTAATATTATACAAATAATGAATGTTTATGAGTGCAATGGTAAGAATAATTTCATGAGGTCACAGATAGAATTCTCTTGGAACATTCCATCTGTCACCTCATGAAAATATTTCCATTGCACAAATGTGAAACATTCATTATTTGTTTTATACAACACTTGAATAAATCCTCGTCATCTGACTGGTCAGAGCCACCAATAGTGACCGTGCAATGGAAGTTCTATTTTCCGTGAAAAAGAACTTCTGTTTTTGCAATGCGACCAGGCCGTGGGCTGGGACGAATAATTAAATGACACGTGATCAACGAGGATTTATTTCAGGCATTGTATAAATGTCTCTAATGAATACTTAAAGGGAATATACAACATTTGCAAACATCGAAAAACAAAACTACCAAGTTTGTACGAAATACCTTACTAGGATGTTGGTAAATGACAGTCTAAAGCATCCTGTAAAATTATGGCACCTAGTGTGAAGTCATTTTCAAGAAAAGTGGTATTTTTGTGTAAATTTCCAACAGTGGTCGGCTGACCACCGTTGGAAAAACCTAACTATTTTTCAACTACTGCTCCAAATGTACCTTTTTTTCAGTCCAAATTTTGTTTGCTATTGGTTACATGTTCATGAACGGGTGCAGGCAGCCCAGCTAGACTGGTTCCCTTACCTTACAATTTCTGGCATCTGTAAATTGATCCGTTTCGTCTTTAGTGGAGTCAGGGAACCAGACTATTTGAACATTTTTTGTTTTTCTTGGTTTTTCCAGCATTTTCGAACACAAAACTTCAAACATGTCAGCTTAACAATATTTCATCTAAAATGCTAACACCTCAAATAGTTCATTTCTGAAAATTACAGCAAAAGCCAATGATGTACATTCCCTTTAAATACAATATTTAAACAATCTCGTTGAATATTTACCGATAGCACCACTTTCTTCTACCAATTTAAATTTTGATCGTTTCTTTTATGGCTCTGATAGTTTCATTACCTCTTCCAGTTGGAAGTGTTTGTCTATTTTAAGAGGCATTCCTTATTCAGCATAAAGTTATGTTGTAAGTATCTGCACGGATAATGCACCTTTATTTTGGTTATCCTACCAAAGTCTGTACAGAAATATGTTTATTTTAAAAGTCTAAAAATTACGTTCATATTATATACTCCACATCCCTTTATTTTGTTGCAATATATGTAAGTAACCATTTCATTCTGTTAGTTTTTGAAGTTAGTACTTTGAGATATTTTTTTATATGAATGTACAGACAAAAGTCAAAACTATTTTGCTCATAATGACTTGCTACTACCAAAGCATTACATATCTAAGGAGAGTAGTTGACGTGAAATAAACACCGCAGTAAAAGAAAGTCCACACTCATTGGAGGCGTCAAATCTGATCGTCTTGTGTTGACGTCATTTAGACCTTTGGGGAATGCTCTTAGCTGCATTTTGATACCCTGTTTGCTACCAAAGACTGTACATCGTCCAAGATTGACAACGGTTGATGAAAAATGATGCAGTTTGAAAAGTTGCAAATTTAGAGATTACGCGAGAAGAAATTGCAAGACGTACCCACATTCCCGTAATTTTTGGCCCCTATTGTCTGCACAGTACCCGAATAAAGCAGGAGTGATCAACTCGCGTGGTCTTTTTTATTCTATATCTACGGCGTGCTTCCATGCATGCAAGCGCTGTGCGATCGGTATTCCCTGCCGTTCGTTTCGGGCAGTGTACGTGACATTGTCACGCATCAATTTCCACTCGCGTACTCTTGAAATTTGCAACTTTTTAAACTGCAACATTGTTGATATACCGTTGTCAACGTTGGATGATTTACAGTCTTTGGTTGCAAACGGGATATCACAATGTACAACGTAGCTAACAACATTCCCCCAAGGTATATATAAATGACGTCATAAGTTGATCAGATTCAAAACGATGACCCTCCAATGAGTGTGGACTTTCTTCTTTTATTTTTTTTTTTGGCAGCTGGCATCAGTCACAATTAGCAAAACTTTTTTAAATTTTTTGACTTCTTATCTCTATTTTTACTTTCTGCGTTAAGTAGATACTACCCAAGTCAACTGGCAAAAAGGCACCTTTGTTGTGCAAAGAAAATTTGTTTCGAAATTAATGACACGGGTTAGAAACAGTTTCTCTACAAAATTCTGTAGAGATTGTGGATGCTCAGATTTTGAGATGTGCCACCCGTCTTGTATCCATTCTACATCAAAGATATTCATCCCTATGGGATATACAAATCAAATTAGGTCGGGCATTTACTTTTAGTGTGAGTCTATAGAGAGCAGAGAGTATTAAGCATTTTTCTTTATTAGGAGATAATACATGTAGTAATTAATTTGATAACGTCAATTGCACCAACAAATTATGATGCAAGCATGGTTGTACTCATATACTGCACAGTAAAGACCGGCTTATACTTCACGCGAATGCGAATACAAAGCGAATTTTGGCATCACCAAACAGTCACTGTAAATTCACCAAAGTTGAAATGTGTTCAACTTTTGTGACTTCGCAGCACGAAAACTATTCTGAGTATCATTTCTCGTTTTACCGGAGCCCGCGCAATCTCCGAGACGACGTCTGACATGTAACCATGCAAAATTTACATGACCCCGCTTGTCAGCCAATCAGAGTCAACTTTAGAATTTGCAACGTCATTTCGAGCAGAAATTTGGCCCATTGGTCAATTGGCTGCCATGTTTTTGTAATGGTCAGAATCTGGAGGTCAAGACACAGTCTTGTTTTGCATAACTAATCACCGAATCTGTACGCATACCATAGACTTGCACATACGCTTTTCATAAACTTGCCGTAACTTCATAAATTTGCATTTGGGTTCACTTTTGCGCCAAGTACGAATCGGCCTTTACATAACAGCATATAGCTTCAGCTGAGTTAAAAAAAAAGGATTATAAAATTTGAGATGTTAGTTTGGGAAATTTGATGCGAGCAATAGACCAGTCTCGGGAACGCAGGGTTAATTTATAGGGTGGTCACCAAAAACGGCAGAAGCATTGTGCTTATTGTGCCATTCCATGTTCTTAACAATAAGCTGGCACAATAAGCCAGTGTACACCTATGTAACTGTTCTTGGTCTTTGTGCTTTGATTGGCTAATACAAATTGTAGGGAATAACTGTGGCTGCATCTGAAGTATCATGTACAGTCGACTCTCGTTATAGCAAACACTTAATACAAATTCTGGTTATAGCAAACATAAAGCCTTGGTCCCGACTGTGCATTTATATGTACAGTAAATGGGACTGATGTTCCTCTTAATACAAAATTCTGATATAACAAACAATCTGGCTAGGTCCGAACGAGTTTGTAATAACGAGAGTCCACTGTACATGTATTTGACTACAGCAGACAGTAATGCATTCACCTGATGTTGTGAATGAGCTTCTTCATGTCACTTGGTGGTCGGGCTGTCTTTCTGTCTGTCTGTCTGTCCCAAAAATGTACCAAAAGTATGGTGTATATGTGCCATCAACGTCGTATTTTTTGGCGTTTTACTTTCAGCTCTGGCAGGGATCCTTTTGATCGATTTCATGCAAGACTTCTTGCAACACGGCCAGATCTTATTGTACACCCGCACTTGTTTACTTATAATTTATTTATTTTTCCTTCCCAAGGAAAACAGTAGAAGCGATGAAATGTATCGCTCCATTCAGCTGTAATAGAATTAATTACATAACAAATTCTTGCTGAACAAATTGCACATGTGCATTTGGAAAATTGTCTGGCTGTACTCATATTACTGCTTCTCAAATTACAGGGTGAACACTGCAGTGTTCACCATTGTAGTTGGTACGATTTTATGGTATGCAATTTACAATGGATACTTAGTATAAATACAGTGTATACTTAGTAAAGAGTGACATAATAACAGTAACAAAGAAAGGAGGCAATGCCACAACCGTGCTGAACTATCGACAAAAGTGCAAGCTCTATAGAAAGTTTGTATACAATGTATTGAGTTTGTATACAATGTTTTGAGTACTCACATTCCGCTTATTGTATGACATTCAGTCCCAGTGGAATATGGGACGAAGTCATAGACGACATTGCATTGTTAATTACCAAACAAGATCCCCTAGAGCCTTGGATATGTGTCAACAAAAAATGCTTTGTTTTTGTTTATTTTAAGGTGTACATTAATTCGTGTGCTAGATGATTAAATACACATTATAATGTAGTTATAAAGTAGCTTTATTTGCAGGGTTTTGAATTAATGGGAATTCGTGAATACCTGAGAGTTTTCCCATTCCTGTTGGTCGAGAGCCCGTCACGTGGGTGGTTTTACACGGTTGATAAAACACCG